TGGGGGGGGGGGGGGGGGGGGGGGGGGCTGGGGGTGCAGATCAATGCCCCCACAGCAAGGGAGGGATTGAGGCTGGAACAGGAGCTGCCTATAGGGTGGGGGCACGTGGGGAGGGGGTGGGGCAGCTCCCACTGCTGCGCACTGCTGGTCTGAGAGAGCATGGCAGGGCACGTGCTCCTGGGTCTGCATGGGGCAGGCAGTGCCGGGGCTGTGAAAGGCTGTACTCTGGGCCAGCAGCAGAAGATTCTGGGAGTGGACACTATGCCCTCCTGCTGCTTACCCAGCTGGGGCAGGGTGGGGCAAAGTCGCTGCACTGCCTCTAGACAAGTGGCACACAGCGGCCGGAGCCACCCTGGCCTCCCTGCACCTCCCAGCCTTGCCCCACCTCAGCTGGGCAAGCGGTGGCAGGGCATGGAGGGGAAGTGTGCCCCTGGATCTGCGGGCTGCACTCTGGGTGGACGGCATGAGCTACAGCAAATCTTAGGGTGGCTGCAGCCCGGCCCCCATAGCCTCCACTCTGCTGCCTACCCCCTCCGATCCAGGGGCACACTCCCCCCCTCAATGCCCTGCAAGTGTTGTCACTGCCGTTCGCCTAGCTGGGGCGGGGTGGAGCAAAGCCATGGCTTGTCCAGGAAGTGCAGAGAGGCCGGGGAAGCTCCAGCTGCTGCATGCCACTTTTCTGTAGGCAACACAATGGCTCTGCCCTGCTCTGGTTGGGCGAGCGGCAAGAGGGCATAACCCCCACTCCCAGTGCCTTCTGCCACCCACCTGAAGCACAGCCCAGTGTAGCCCTGGCCCCGCAGATTCAGGGGCACATGCCCCCCACCCATCCCCTCCCGGACCAGTGGTGGGAGCTGCGACGAGAGCCACCGCACAAGCTGCCAGGCAAGCAGCTCCTGGACTGGTAACCCGCAGCAGTGGGAGCCACCCACCCCATCCCCATACCCCACCACCCTGGCTGGGCCACCCTTGTCTCAGCCCATCCTAGCCCCAGCCCAAATCCCCTCCCTCACTGCAGGGGCATTGATCTTTCT